GAAAAGGGGGGTCGATCAGTGGTTTTGTTGACCATTGAGTTGATGGATTTTATTTATTTATTTTTTCAGTTGTAGGCAGTGTTTAACTGAATATATTCTACAGGACTTGGCAATGGGAGCAGATGCTGAGGGGGAACCTCTAAAAGATGCTATGAAGAGCATCGTTCCTGTTCTGCTCAACAGTGACATTGGAGCCTATGACAAAATCCGCATCATACTGCTGTATATTTTCCACAAGAAAAAAGGTATGCCATGGCATATTCTAATTCATAAAGTTTGATAGCTACAAGTTTAACCCCTTCTGGCCTGTTCTTGTTCTTTACTGTTCGCCAGCCCTGCAAATGCTAATGGCTAGCATTAGCAAATATTTGACATGCCTGTTCAGAGAGCAGCAATCTCTGCATGGCTTCTAAGCCTCATTGCCTTCCTAAGTTGGCAGCAATACTCAAAAGCTTCACCGATGTTCACCCACATTTTTGGCTCTTTTCAGTTATTTATGTATTTCTATTTTTCTTTTGCTTGAATCTGTGAAATGTAATATTACGACATTTCTTAGCTCTATCCATTTGGATCTGTCAAAGCCTGAGCTGTATGTATCGTGGCTTCAAGCTGTATTCCTATTGGTCTATTCCTATTATGTTAAGATTGGCATCATAACCAAAAGTAAATATTTATAAATTTTGGACTTGTCAAAATGTTTAAAACACTTAATTTTTTTTCTGTGAAATTAATAATTTTATTCTGCACCACTCTAAACTTTCTATCGATGTATTATTTTTGGAAAACTTATTGTTTTGATGAAAACATAGTAGGCATGACCTTTTAATTAACTCCATGAGCTAAGTCATGTGTTTTTGTTTATCCAGTGCTTTGCATTTTTTTTTTTTTTTTTTTGAAGGCTTTAACCATATTTACATCTGACTCACTGTATTTAGGCATTGGGGAGGAGAACCTTACCAAGCTCATCCAGCATGCAAATATAGCAGAGGACAGCAAAATTATCTACAACATGCAAAACCTTGGCTGTAACATTATCGCTGGGGTAAATTTCCAAATACAACCAATGTTTTATCTTCAGGTTTTCACTCTGCTGTTAATAATATTGTACCTCTCTCTCATTTTTGAACACAAATAATTTTCTATTAGGGCCGCAATGCTGCCAACGTGCTGCCAGAACGCAAGGAGCGTCTGGAGAGTACATACCAACTCTCTAGATGGACACCCATCATCAAGGACATCATGGAGGTATTAGTGCTGAAGTTTTTATTTATTTTTATTTTTTTATTTATATATATTTATCTTATTTTGGTGTTCTGTTTTGCAGAATGCTATAGAAGACAAGCTGGACAGGAAGCAGTGGCCATTCATCGCTAATCCAGCACCAATCAACACAACCCAGACTGCAGTCAGGTGGGTCTCTTAAAACCAGTTTAATGCTACATTCACACCATATGCGATTGAAGCAGCTGGTGTACATGCAAAGTTAATGGTTGACACACATTTAGGAGCATCAAAAAGTCCTGCCATGCGTCTCAAGCAGCAAGAGCGGCGCATCTTGACGCATGTGAGCAGCCGAACCAGCGCCTCATGACATTATGCACATGTGATGCGCATGACGTGCTTCACAAGTAGCAGCTGATGGAGTTGAAAAAAATGAAACTTACTGCTCGATGCACCACATCAACCAATCAAAGAAGCTGATCTGGGAGCTGGCAGGGAGACAGACACAGCACGGCTGATTCAGAGCGCCATAATCACTCCCCTGAAACAGTTTAATGCCTAAATTAACATAGAATGCCAAAAACTGCCAGGAAATTATGTTTGCTTGTATTAGTCTGGTGCCTGCAGTTTGTACCACATACCTGGAAAAATGCTAACCTCTACTTCCAGCTGCAACAAACAGTAGCAGAAACCCCCTGGGTTGGGAATTCCCAATGAGGGCGCCGCTTATATGCGGGGATCTGAGTAAAATTTGAAGGCAGGATCGTAGTCTTGAACTGACTGCACAGATGATATTTTGAGGGGGACTTTCTCGGTTAAAAATATAGTAAAACAATTTTTTACCAGCTTATCACAGCAAGTATAGCAAAGCCACACTCTACCATTGAATACAGGGACAGCAGAAGTATCAAGAGCATCAAGGATGCTCTAGACACGCGTCTGACCCTATGTGGAATGGAAATGTCATGAAAGCTGTACAGAACTGAATTTCGTTTTGTATACACTCTGTGTATACATGACAATAAAAATTGTCTAAGTCTTAATGTGTACAATCTTCAAAAATTAAGCAACAGGTGCTTTTTTGCTGCTCAAAGCGCCTGCGGTGTGAGCATGGCATAAGAGTAGCAGAGTTTAGAACGGCATGACAAAAACTGACATGTTTTCCAGAGAACTCCTTTGAAGAGAAGTGTCATTATTTTTGAATTAAACTATGTATCCAGTAATGCCCAATAAAAGCTTTTTATCCCTGTAACTAAATTTAAGTCAAGCTTTTGATGGATTAAGTTTGAAAGCCCAAAAAAGGACGGTTTACTCTAAATGCACTGCGATCCATTAGGGAATTCTCATCATGATTATGCTTTCTCTGCAAACTATGGTCCATATTTAATGGATAATCTGCCTAATGCACAATATTTTCGTTGTTTAGCTTGAAGTAAATTGAAGCATTAAATGTGAATAAATCTACATTAAAGCATTGTTGCACAAAACAAGACAAGATAGGTCAAACTATGTTAAATTTGACATGTGGACCATTATGAAACAGATTTAGTATGATGCGGAAATATTTATTATAAAACATGTTTAATAACCTCTAACAAACAATACATGCATTATGCGAAACGTTACTTGTTGCTAAATAATTTTCCTTCTTTTTTTATTTTTAAATCTACAGTAGTGCCCGTTTTGGAAACTGGCACAAAAATAAGTCTCCAACCGAATATCGCTCCGGCCCTCGCTTGATTGTTTTTATGATTGGAGGAGTGTCTCACTCAGAGATGCGCTCTGCTTATGAAGTCACTCGAAGCACTGAAGGAAAATGGGAAGTGCTTATTGGTGAGCTTTTTTTTGTTGTTTTTTTGTTGTTTTTGTTTTTTTTGCTATCTAGTTATTCTTAAGTTTATTTCTGCAACAAAGTTCCAAGCTTTTCCTAATCATCAATTATTCTTTTGACAGGGTCCTCTCACATCCTGACTCCAACCACCTTCCTTGATGACTTAAAGGGTCTGAAATAAGTTTCCTATTTCAGATGTTAGTCCTTGAGCAGGGTTTTTCATTTGACTGGTTGCTGGTAATCTGTCTGTAATTCTTCAATAACTTCATTTGAATATGAAGGTAACTTTTAGATTTCACCATGGAAGGAAACAACCTGTTCTGTAACTCTTATTTTATTCTTGATGGGATTTTTTCCCCATTCATTAGATTTCTATGTTCTTTGATTAAAACTATGATATATTTATATAGATGTTTGAGGTATTTTGATCAACCTTTTATCAGCCAAAATCGGTTTGATTTGTCAAGAAATGTACTCCTATATTAAATGGTGTATTTAGAGGAAATGTAACTTAATGGCATTGCAATTAAATTAAAAGAATATATTGGTTTGAAGCATGGATGAAGACAGTAAATATTTTCTCAAAGGATTTTTGTTTTTGTGTGTAGGAAACTAACTTAGAGAGTCTCAACTGCTGTAATGAAATATTGAACAACTTAATATATATCGCTGGAAACTTGTGGGGTTGGTGTTTTTTTTTTTTTTTTTTTTTTCCTTTTTTCCTAAATTAAATAAAGATACATCAAATTAATGTTTGAGCTTTTTTGGACGTTCACCTGATCTAAATTTGTCATTTCCTTCTTTTTTCTTCTCCTGTGAATAAAAGCACTTCAACTAATTTGTATTTTATAGCATTTTCATTAATTTATATTTTTCCTAACATTTTCCTCCTAAGTTATTTTTTTTGTCTAATATTGCATCATGACCTAAGTGATTTTTATTTTCTTAATGAACAGGGAGACAAATGTCAAAAAGTCATCAGTTTACTTGATCTCATAGGCCATAATGATGAATTTACTCAGTTTGAAGGAGAAAACACAAAGTTCAATTAAAGTCATGGGTCAAAATGAAGAATGTGTAAATCTCGCATGTAGAGATTATCCCTCTTTGAGGATTATGTTTTTATCCAGGATTATAAACATTGATATTAGGAAGGCAGGGCTAGCTTTGGTCTTAATAAGGATGGGTTAATACTCAGGACTTAAACTATTAAAAACCACTTTACTGTGTCACATCCAACAAGCACTTGGAGCAGCATCAATTGAAACCTCATTTTCAAAAAGCAGTTCATATTTAAGTGTATATTTGCAGTCAGAGGTGCTTTTGTGCAAGTTATACATAGTTCTCTGGACGTTTTTGTTTTTTAAAAGATGACGTCTGGGGTGGATTTAAAATCGGAAGACACTGATATGGAGGTAAGACATTTTAAGCAATACGTATACATCTGATTAGTGTTTCATTAAGTGTTTTCAAAAGTGTAATCTTAAAGGATTGCATTTCTGCTTTTCGATGAAATAAATGCCTATGACTAGGATAAAATTACAAATGGAAATAGTTTTATGTTCGGTTTATGCAGCTCGTCAATGTTTATCTTTGAACTCAAAACCTTAATTTCTGATCTGGATTGACTTCAGGAGCTGGGAGACAAATACCTTATTTATGAGTGTTAATTTGCAATTAAATTGCATCTCCAGATTATTAACGACTGGCATATCCCCATTGCAAATGATATTTGTGCACACTTGCCCTTGTTTTGTTTTAGGTCTAAATGTTATAAAGGGGTAATTTCATGCATCTCCTTTGTTGTTTGGTTGAATCAATTTCAGCTCTTTTTTTTTTTTTTTTTGGTAGGTGTCGGGCAATAATGATGGCCCTGGCTCTGAGCCTTTGATCACTATAACGCAGAGTACACCAGATATGGAGAGGAAGACTGTGTTGGCACCAGTCAATCAATTACAAGTTCCTTCTCAGCGTCACCGCTCCAATTCTTTAAGGGTCTGTTCTATTAAATTGTTGCTTTAAATATTTAAAATCCCCATTATGTATTCCAAGGTTGCATGTTAAAATGTTTATTTAGAGCTTGTTTCAATCTTTTTTATGTAATATAAGGAAGAATCGCCTGAGGAACAACAAAGGTTTTTCAGTATGATCACCCATGGCCAGCGTGGACGTATAGAGGACCAGCGCTGTGCCTTGGATACCAGCAGAGGTGCTTTTTTTCACTTAAATGCTTATTTGTTTTGCAGTTATATCTAAAATAAATAAAACAAGGGCACAACCTGTCAATTTTTTTTTTGTTTTATGTAGTAATTGTTTGTAAAAACTGATGTCCAATAACTTGTTAAATCTTACCTCCAGATCCTGCATTGTTTTTTAACCTTTTGACCCAAAGTGGACAGCTGGATGACCAGCAAGTTTCTCATTCATCATTACCAGTATTGCAGAATGAAGATGGTGTCTATAATGAAGATTCAAGCTATCTGTTTCATTTGGTCTCAAAAGTGCAGGTTAGTTATTTTTGTGGAAAAAAATCTCTTTTAAGATCAACAAACAACACATTCTCATAGGGTTTGGACAGAATGTCAGCCAACATATTCAACATTTAGTGTTGTCACTTTATTTTTTACTATAGGGATTTAACCTTGTTTTACATGTCCATCAAAAGAAAATTGTTCAACGCATGCATTTCAGGGCTCCAGAATGGAGGACCAACGGTGCTTCCTACCTCAGCTTCAAGGACCTGGGGCACAGATATCTGCAAACAATGAAAAATCTGTGCCTGCTTTGCGTCTAACCCGCTCAGCCTCATTTGGCACAAACTCTGATTTAAATCGAGAAAAGAATAAAGAAAAACAACGATCTGCATTAACTCTTAATCCACAAGGAACACCCAATCCCTTACTCAGTCTAAATACCCAAGGTTAGAGGCATGGTTCTAGCTTGATTAAATTGCTTTAAGTCAGATATTTTAGTGTCACAGGTTTGATCATGAAGTCTTTTTTTTTCGTTATCAGATGCTGAAAAGCTCTACAATATGCTGACAAACTTTCAAGGCAGACGACTGGATGACCAGCGTATGTTTCTACCCTCATTACCAGGAATACAGAACGGAGGCTCGACATTAACTCCTGTTGACATGGATGCAAAATATTTATGTTATTTGGTTTCAAGAGCCCAGGTTGGCTTAATAAGAGTGCTCTATAAATGTCATAGTTTTTGCATACATTTATTTTTTTTCTTATTTGCATGAACTCTAATCTAAATAACTAAACTTTTATTTTGAATTTTTCCTCTATCATAGGGTTCAAGGATGGATGACCAAAGGTGCTTTCTGCCTAAGCCTCATGATCCCAATGCACAGATTTCTTCAAACCAGGGAAATTTGGGGCCTGCTTTACGTCTAGCCCGCTCAGCCTCCTTCAGCACGAATTACGATTTAAGTCGAGCAAAGGATACCGAAAAACAGCAATGTGCATTAACTCAAGGAACATCCAGTCCCTTGCTTAGTCTAAACACCCAAGGTTAGAAGCAGCACTCTGATGGAATTTTATTAACCTCTGTTAGACGGATACTTTAACTTAACTGTTCGAATTTGATTGGAAAATCTGGTATATTTTTCTTCCTTCACTAGATGCTGAAAAGCTCTACAGTTTGCTGACAAACTTTCAAGGCAGACGACTGGATGACCAACGTATGTTTCTTCCCTCATTACCAGGAATACAGAATGGAGGCTCAACATCAACATTAACTCAAGCTGAAATGGATGCAAGACATTTATGTTATTTGGTTTCAAGAGTCCAGGTTGGCTCCATAAGTGTGCTCTAATAAAATCATAGTTTTCAGATATATTTACATTTTGCTTATACGGAGTCAAATCTGAATTTATGTAATTAATTTCAATATATTTTTCCCCCATTGCAGGGCTCAAGAATGGATGAACAAAGATGCTGTGCACCCCAAATCCTGAAAAATTTAAGCACCCCTTCGACTCAGCGCAAAAATCTTATAATTGATGCATCGGATAAACCTGAACAAAGTTCTCTACCTTTTGGAACACATAAACATTGGCAGGTTGGATAAGTTTCTGCAGCTGAAATAATTTTCTATTCTGTATTTTGCCTCTTGATGTATATCAGGGATCAAATAAAATATGTATATATTTTTCAAAATCTTTTCCAAATGTAGGATTTATCATCAGCTGAACAGGATCAGTTTTTTGAGACGATAAGACATGCTCAAAGTGCACGAATGGAAGAGCAGCGGTGCTATTTACAACCTCAACAAAGCCTGGCTCCCACTCCAGTGCACAATGGAGGTCCTTTAAACAATGGGTTACTGGGTTAGAAAAACATACCGGACAAGATGTTGCAAAATTACTTATGTCGAGATATTAGAAATAATCTGAATATCTTCAACAGGGTCTCAACTTATGACATTTGCGAATAATGAGAACCGCGGACAGGGTCCAAGGCAAGAAGTTCAAAATAGTCCAATGCAAGGGATTAGTGGAGAATCAAAAGCTTTGAAAAATGCAAAAAACCCTGGTTTCACAGTAAGTTACATATTTGGTATAAATTATTGGAAGGGTACCTTTTGAAAAAAGCAAATGTTCATGAATAATTTGTGATTTCCCTGTTTCACAACATTTTATGGCTTGAAGTTAAGAATAGATTCAGATTTTTTATATAATGTTCAATTATTAATGTAATTCATGTAAAAAAAGAAACTTATTTATGAGATTTTATTCAAAGAAAATTGCTGTGCTTATATTTTTCACTGATATTTATCAACCAATGCTTTTACGTAAAGTGTATAACAACTTTTTCTTAGGTCTCACCCCCATATATTACTCTGAGTGAAGGAACACCCATTACATCAAGACAGTCCTATGGCAGAAGTGTCTCTCAGCCACAAATGGCAGATGCATATTCCAGCACTACCATGGCCCTATCGAATTCTGCTTCAGCTATCCCTGAGGCTGAAACCGAAATTAATCAAAACCCCAAAACGCAGGTAAAAAAATACACAACTTCATTATGAATGATCTTTAAAGATTAGCTTGACAAAATGCATTCTTAAAGTCACTTAAAGGTATAGTGGGGGATTTTCGCAAATTTTTGAAAAGACCCGCCCTATCCACTTAAAAAAAGCACATGCACAATCCTGTACTCAACTCAACTCAACTTTATTGACAAATGTGCTACATGTAAACATACAACACAGATGAAATTTTCCGTCCTAGCTCCTCAGAGAGAATGCTTATTAAATACATGAGGGAGCATGCATGATCCCATTTCTCTTCATGCACGCTCTGTTAAAAAGTTCCTGTTTGCATCGCTCGTACAAGCTTCTAAAAGATTTGCAATTTTTTCCACAATGTCAGACTCCCCACCGGTAATTGAAATTTGGCGACGAGCAAGTAGGACGGCCTTACATAAACATATCACCAGAATTATTCACATTAGGAGGACCACCTATTTTGATGATCCATGAGGAAAAAGAACATCCTCACTATACCTTTACGTTGGGTTAAATACAAAATGAATTGTTAACACGGTATTGCACATACAGTGCGGAGTAAATTGTATACAGTACATTGAATGTACTGAAGAATAATTATCAGCTATTTATTTCTAAAAAGGAGGAAATATGCCACTGTGTTGAAATAATTTTTAAGCATTTTTTCTGATTTTGGTAAAATCCTGGACCTGGTCTACAACAGACCAGGCGAATGAAATGAATGCATCTCTGATGAAAATTTTACATTTTTTATGTTTTACTTCCACAATAGATGACATTAAAAGTAACACTCAACATAACACCACAACAGGTAAGCTATACCATGGATTGTGACTGTTTAAAATAAGGAAATTTGTATTGTTAAAACAAGCTCATAGAACAATTATCTATTCATTTGTTGTAGGGATTTAAGAATGACCATCAAATACCAGAAGTCTTTCTCACACTTGGAGCTCCAGGGGACAATGTTGTCATTCCTCTAAGTCCAATATTTGGAAGACAGCTATCCTTGGACTTAAATCTTGTGCCCAAAAAAGACGCTAAATCTGAGCATAACTCTCCAAGAAAAGCAAGTCCCAGGAAAACCGAAATACGACCATCGTCCCCCTCCTGGGATAAAGATCCTTTAACTACAGGCCTAAATGATGTGGAGAAACCTTTAGCCTGCCCTGTTACCCCAGGCAAAAAAGCCCAGATGGAGGAAGAAAAATATAAAGGTGTACATAAAAAAGGGAAAGATAAAGTAGAGCAAGGAAAGGGAAAGGGAGCTGGAAGAAAGGATAATAAATAAGTCTGTATATTATCTATCTATATAAATAGCTCTAGTTCAGCTTGAAATGTCAGAGAAATGATATACAATGAAAATGTATTGTAGTTTTGAAATAGCGTAATAGACTCTGCTGAAGTTCCGGTGTAATACAAGTTGTATGTCATTAAAAATTGGTATAAAGTATATTGTTTAAGTTTGACTTCTTTAGCTGTGGTCTTTGTAAAGGATCATGTATATGTTTGTAACATATATCGGCTCTGCTCTTTTTCCCTCTCCCTTAAATAGGATGAGTATTTTATGTGATGACCTGTGATAAGGTTGAAATAAACTCCCTGTCTTTAACTTAATTGGAGCGGGCTGTACTGTACTAACTATTTCTTTACTTTCTTGATATTTTCTGTTAAAGGGCGAAGCTTTTGTAATGTGATACACAGACACAAAACAAATTAGACGTCAAAAGGTTTGGTAGAATGATTGCCAGAATGCAAGTGAGACTATTGTCGACGTTTTTCTTTTCTTTTTTTTTTGTTGCTTGCTTGGCTGTTGGGCTAGCTGTCATTGTTAAGGTATTACAGGCACAGTCTGTTCTCTGAATAACCCAATATTTATCTCAACCTTGACTTCAATTCAAGTAGTTATCTCCAAAGTTATGTCTTTTTTTTAAGGTTGTCTAACCTCTCTGGTGAAGGCAGGCATATTTTGGTGATATATATATATATATATATATATGCTCCTAATGAGACGACGGATGGCGTCCTGGGGTATCTCCTCACAGATCTGGACCAGGGCATCACTGAGCTCTTGGACAGTCTGAGGTGCAACCTGGCGGCGTCGGATGGATCGAAACAAAGTCCCAGAGGTTTTCTATTAGTGCATCTGTTGTTAATTTCAATAACACTAAAGCAGCTGAAACTGATTAACAACCCCCTCTGCTACTTACCTGACCAAATCAATATCCCAGAAGTTTAATTAACTTGATGCTATACTCTGATCACAAAGTATGTATCATAATTAAATTGATCTCTGATATATGTTTTGTATTACTGAAATTATTTTACTTGCTTTGTGTCCCGTTTTGCCAATATAGATCTGGGAATAGATGATGATAGCAGATCACTATGACTGTTGCCATAAGGTTCCACTTGGTACTTGTTGAAACAGTGTCATCTGAATGAAGTCACACAGCGCTTCTGCCACCCTCACACAGGACCAGACAGGTGCGTATCGGAGGCTTTTTAAGATGAACTTTGGATGCCGATTGGCTTTAGTGGAGGTATGGTTCAAAGCTGATTGGCTGTGTCGCGGGTGGATGAAGAAAATAAATGAGTTTCTTCAGTTAAACTTCCGCCTAGGCTCCATTATTCAGGGTGGTATATATCTGTTCCTGCAGCTTAGTATTTAGTATTAGTGTGTATCCGTGAACACCTTGAACAAAACTTCTGTGTTGTGTATACATGGGCAAACATCTTTATAAAGTTAAGTAGGTGGTTATTTAACCTTAAGAGTGAAAGTTAGAATGGATGGATTTATGTCTTCTGTGATGCACTTTTGACCTCTCACACAATGACAGCTGTTACGGGCTCACCCACTGTGTGACTGTGACAGGACAAAGCAGGTTTAGAAAGCGGATGAATGGGCTTTTGTTGTTTCATTAAAGCAGTGTCAAAAAATTTTGTCTGACTGTGATCCTCTTCAGTGCAGTAATAGGTTAATTTAATATACCATTATCCAGGCTAATGTTTCAAGGACCATACAAATGCCACAGCTATCCAGTTGCAGTGGATTCAAATCTCTCAGCTGTCTGAAATAAAATAGACCTGCTAACCATTCCAAGCAAGTTGAAGTAGGATAGTGTATCATCTTGGAATGTAGAGGAAGAGCAGCTGCCTTATAGGTTGGGCTGACTACCAAAATAAGACCTGTGCCAGTAAACACAATATTTTAAGAGCTGCATTTGTAACAGTGTTGGGAATGATGACCAAATTGAGGGTAAGGGTAGGAAAAAAAACTTGAAAAACTAAAAAAGAAAACTCAAAATTTTTAATTTGATGTGAATTTAGAAAAGACTTTGAAAACAGTAAATTTATCTTTTGTGATTTCGTATTTTTACCTAAATATCTCAAATATCACTAATGTTGTCTATATAAACACTTGTGTCATGAAGTAAGTAAAAGTAAACAGTAAATCTGTCATACTAAAAAATGAATATGAAGTTCAGCAAGGTATTTCATTAAATAGTTTTATTGTTGCTTGTTTGAGCCATAATCCCGCTAAATGTTAATAGTTAACACTAATGGAAGGATTCTAGCAGTTTCATTTTTAAAGTGGACCTGGGAATAAATGAGAACAGGCGGTTCTGAGTAATCTTTGTCAGAGGATATAGTTGAAGATGAACCTGTGCCTCAAGCTGTTAAGCTGTAATAAAATATGAGTAATGTGTCTTGTAAAGAGGAGGATGCTAAGAAACGGTGTTAAATTTCACTTTGACAGGAACATGAGGACCTGAGGGAGCCTCTTTATAAACCCGACAAATTCCTTATCCAAGGTTACTTATGTTGATTTAAAAATGTTTCATTTTTACAAAATTCTCTTTTATATGTTTTATAAAATGAGTTGATACATGTTGTTGGATAGGAAGTGATTTTGTGATCACAGAAAGGGTTTATTTACCCCACCTTAATTAGGCAAAAGGACACTATGGCCATTTCTCATGACCTTTGCAGTCATGTAAAAATATCAACCTTAGCAAGGTAATTGAATTAGTGTTTCACTGAATGCACAGAGAAGACTGTGCTAGAAGAAAGGGTAGTTGCTTTAGTCTGTTACATGATAGTGTCTTAGCAGGAGCTGTTTTTACCAAGACGCCCTTGATGGACCCTTCAACAGTTTTTCAGGCCTCTTAAGCAATACCTAATATATCTTTAAACCTGATGTGTGACATCTAGTTAGAAATTCCTCATACAAACCAGCCCCGTTGTTGACTGCTTTGTTTTTAGTTTAAGGAACATGTTTTGGAATTTGCATCAAGCCTCCTTTTACAGCAAGGGTAATCATCCTGCAGCACTCACAAGCTGAGTTTAGATGCTTTTCATTTATACTGTGAATATTCTTCACTTTTATTCATGTATTGCAAGAAGTTAAATCTAAGTTTCACTGTAGTTCTAACTGTGCCATACGGCATTAATAAATAACCAAACATCTTTTTATGAATAATTCAAATATGCTTAATTTGTAGAAAGAATGTTTATTATACTTGTTTCCTATCCAGGCATACAATTCTTCAAAGCAGTTCTCAAATTTGGCTTTAAATATAAATTAGATTTTATAAAAGAAAAAGACAAAAACCAGAGTAAATTGAATAAAATAATTTATTTAGCAAAGGTTACAACAGAATTTTCATATTTTATGAAGTCTGTTGAGTGGTCTTTCAAGTGTTTTTTCTTACTCAGCAGCATCAGACTGAAAAAGAGGGAGGAAAAATGTTTTAATTAATTGACAAAAAACAAAATTACTTTACAACACTTAGGTCATGACTTGTATGCAAGACTTACATGAACTTTGATTTGTGATTTGCTACTTTTCAAATAAACCAGTCAACACTGCTTAAATGGGCTCTGTCTGCAACAAGACCTTAGGCTACCATAAATTTAGAGCACAGTTGAGATTCCCACTGAGTTATTGCAGCCTCCACAGTACTTAACTCTGAGAGGGCTTGAGCCAACAAGCAGCTACAAGCGCAGTAGCCAAAGTCCAGTGATGACTGCTGGATTACAATAAGCCAATTGTCATTCCAGATCAGTGTCTCACTTTTCCAGGCATCCACTGGCTCTCAAAAAGCCATAACACAAGTTCCCACATTAAGATGACACTATGGCTATGTCCATTCATTTCTATCCCTAAGGGAATGTTTGTTGTGGTTTTAATATACAAATGTACATGTGCATTTTCATTTTTTAAATTACTCTACTTAATTGGATGTAAGGATTTTCCTCAATCTAGGATCTGATTTTCTATACTTGTTTTTATATTTTTACCTCTATAAGTACCAGCATGTATGTATACATTCGTGGTGTATGTGTATGCCTTTTACTTAATTGCTGTTACACCTTAATTTCCCCTTAGTGAGACAATAAAGAATATTTCTGCATACAGTAATGCAAATGGGTACGCTGAATATTAGTTCAGTTGTCATGATATATTGTATATTGTTCTGTTAAAAAAAGAATGATGGTTGATAGATGATTCAGGCATTTCTTTTATGTAATTAGTTGAGATAATTGTTTAAATATGTACCTTTCCAACATCACGGCTCTTGGCTCTGAGCTTGTTGACCTGTGACTCAGCAATGTCAGCGCGCTCCTGAGCTTCCTCCATCTCATGCTGGACCTTCCTGAGCCTGGACATGTGAGTGTTGGCCTGCTCCTCCTAAAATTATAAAGGTAATTCACAAAAAAATATTGAAACATTGTGTGGCTTAAAACAAATAACATTGGCTGTACAAGGATTTCACTTACAGCTTCCTCAGCCTGTCTCTTGTAAGCCTTGACCTTGAGCTGCAGCTTGTCCACCAGATCCTGAAGTCTGGTAATGTTTTTCTTGTCCTCTTCAGTCTGTGTATATTACAGATTTTTTTATTGATTGTTTTAAAATAAAAAATAACTATTTTTTATGTAAATTGGAAGGCAAATAAAATTACACACCTGGTAGGTCAGCTCCTTAACTCTCCTCTCATATTTGCGGACTCCCTTAACAGCATCAGCACCGCGTTTCTGCTCATTCTCAACTTCAGACTCAAGTTCACGAACCTATTGTGAGATAATTTAGGATTGTCTTTTAACAAAGGGTTCAAAGTTAGATATGATAAGACATACGTGTATTTATGTTTTGTTCTTCAATTGAAATATTAGTCAGTTCATACCCTCTGTTCCAGTTTCTGGAGCTGCTTCTTGCCACCCTTCATGGCGAGGTTCTCAGCCTCATCCAGGCGATGCTGCAGGTCCTTGACTGTGACCTCCAGGTTCTTCTTCATCCTCTCCAGGTGAGCACTGGTGTCTTGCTCCTTCTTCAGCTCCTCAGCCATCATGGCAGCCTAAAATGATTTTTGTCATGAGTTTCAGGTAAAATGTTGAAATCTAAAAACTACAAATATATGCAAAAAAAAAATAGGATTAAAATTGTATGTTTTCTTATATGTAAACTGACATCAGTGATGGCCTTCTTGGCCTTCTCCTCTGCGTTTCTGGCTTCCTGAACAGCATCGTCCACCTCACCCTGGACCTGGACCAGATCAGTCTCAAGCTTCTTCTTGGTGTTCAGAAGGCTGGTGTTCTGTATATTTTAGAAATCAGAAAGTGTAAGTTAACCTGTTTTATTCTGTTTCTTTAGACCTTTGAGGTTTTGCAAATTAATAAAAGCCGAACCTGAGAGTGAAGCAGTCCAACACGCTCACTGGCATCAACCAACTCCTGCTCAGCCACTTTGCGTGCTCTCTCTGTCTGCTCCAGAGCAGCTCTCAGCTCCTCAATCTCAGCCACCATCAGACCGTTCCTGCGCTCCACCATGGCTACCTGCTCCTTCATGTCCTCCTGTCCCCTGAGGGCATCATCAAGGTGCAGTTGTGCGTCCTAACAACAAAAATATTAATTTCAGAAATGTGGTTGTCTTGCTCCCTATGTTTAAACTGTGCTTTACCACCAAACTCACCTTGAGTTGTCCCTGGACGTTCCTCAGTTGTTTCTGGGCCTCAGCAGCCTGCCTGTTGGCATGGCTCAGCTGAATCTCCATCTCGTTCAGATCTCCCTCCATCTTCTTCTTGACTCTCAGGGCATCATTCCTGCTTCTGACCTCAGCATCCAGAGTGCTCTGCATGGAGTCAATGACTCTCTGGCTGTTTCTCTTGATCTGCTCCATTTCCTCATCCTTCTCTGCCAGCTTCCTGTCAATTTCACCCTTAACCTGGTTGAGCTCCAGCTGGACGCGCAGAATCTTGGACTCTTCATGTTCCAGAGTGCCCTTTAAAAAGATTAAAATGCTGTTAAAGTGAAGTTCGTGGAAAATTCTACATACATATGTTAATGTTTTTGTATGAGTTTACCTCAGCTTCCTCCAAAGCTGTCTGGATTTCTGCTTTTTCTGTTTCCACAGCCTTCTTGGCTTTCTCGAGCTCATGGATGCTCTTTCCAGTCTCTCCAATCTGTTCAGTCAGATCTGAGATCTCCTCTAAAATAATCAATAAAAATAAAGGTATGTTGGTTATGCAACCCAAAGTTTTGTACGTTAAAATCTAATATTTTCTAGGAAGGTATAACTGCATACGCTGCAGATTCTTGTTCTCTCTCTTCATGGTCTCCAGCTGATCCAGAGCCTCTTCATAGGAGTTCTTCATCTTGAACAGCTCAGTGCTCAGAGAGCGAGCCTCCTTCTGTGCTCCTTCCAGCTCAGCCTGACTCTCCTCATACTTCTGCTTCCACTCTGCCAGGACCTGGAAATGTGAAAATGTATTAAACATGTACATTGATTTGCAAAAATATGCTTATACCAGAGAACGGCTGTACCTTGTCAAAGTTCCTCTGCTTCTTGTCAAGGTTGGCAGCCAGAGAATTGGCTCTCTCCACATCAATCATCAGGTCCTCCACTTCACCCTGGAGCCTCTGCTTGGTCTTCTCCAAAGAGGCACACTTGGAGTTCACAGCCTCGATGGACTCCTCAGCCTCCTGCAAGCGCTGGGCAAGCTTTTTCCTGTAGTGAAAATGTGTTAATTGGTAGAGATAGAAAATAACGATGACATGTTGCTTCATCAATAAAACTGTATTTTGACTCACTTGGCCTCCTCCAGCTCCTCGGTGCGCTGGATGGCATCAGTCTCATATTTGGATCTCCACTGAGCCACCTCACTGTTAGCCTTAGACATGCCTCTCTGCAGCTCAGCCTTGGCCTCCTGCTCTTCCTCAAACTGCTCTCTGAGCAGATCACAGTCATGGCGGGCTGACTGAACAGCATGGGCCAGGGCATTCTTGGCCTGTAAAACACAAGGTATTTCAGTTAACTTCCTATAGAGTATGAAGTATTTCTTAAGAAGAAAACAATTAATTTTAAGCCAACAACTGATATCCTTAAAGGAAAACAATTGATAAATATTTTCATACCTTGACTTCCTCCTCAATTTGTCTCTTGAGCTCCTCAATCTGCTGAGTGAAAGCCTGCTTGCCTCTTGTCAGCTGAGAAACAAGAGCTTCTTTCTCCTCAAGCTGGCGACCAAATTCACCTATGAAATGTAAGAATGTATTTATTGCATACATCTTAACACAAGTAAGAGATTAAATCAGTAATTTTAACATTTGGAGCCTTACCATTCTCTGTCTGGAGTCTTGCTTTCTGTGCATTAATGTCATTCAGCTGGCGGACATTCTCATCATTCTTAGCTTTGATTTCACTCAGTTGGTCCTCAAGAGTCCTGCACATTTTCTCCAAGTTGCCCTGAAATGATCAGAGACTGGTTTAAATGTACTCAGGAGTCAACAATTGAATGTATGAGCATAGCAAAATAGGAAATAGCCTCTCACCTTTGCCTTGGCAACAGCCTCCATGTTGCTGGACAGATCATCAATCTCCATCTTGTACTCGCTCTTCTCCTTCTCCAGCTTCTGCTTGACACGCTGCAGATTGTCGATCTGCTCTCCAAGCTCAGCAACGCTGTCGGCCTGCTTCTTGCGAAGAGCTGCTGCAGTAGCTTCATGCTGCAGAGTGGCTTCCTCAAGATCACGGCGCAGCTTCTGGAACTCAGCCTCACGCTTCTTGTTCATCTCAATCTGAGCAGCTGTGGCTCCACCAGCCTCCTCAAGCCTCTCACTGATCTCCTCAAGCTCCCTGGAGAGGTCAGCTCTCTGCTTCTCTACTTTAGCCCTAGCAGCTCTCTCAGCCTCAATCTCCTCTTCCAGCTCCTCAATGCGGGCCTAGAATTCAAGGGGAATGGAAGTAATAGCAAGATCATTAGATAAAAAAGATGAAAAACAATTCAGCCAAGTGCAATTAAAGAGAATCTTTCTCACCTGGAGTTCCTTGATCTTCTTCTGCAGCTGAGCTCCAAGGGACTGTTCATCCTCAATCTTGCTAAGGAGTTGACTGATTTCAAAGTCCTTCCTGTAATTCATGAAATAATGTCAAGTTTAAGCGGGTGCTCATTTTCAAGAGTTTTCCTAACAAAAGAAAGTCAACATTTACTTCTTGATCTTCTCCTCAGACTGCTGCTTGTCATTCTCCAGATCCATGATGGATTCCTGAGCCAGTTTCAGATCTCCTTCAAGCTTTCTCTTGGCTCTCTCAAGGTCCATACGGAGCTTCTTCTCTTGCTCCAGAGATCCCTCAAGCTATAGAATATAAATTAGATTCAGTTTGAACAACTGATATAAATATCAATAAATGCCTTTCACCAAAATACAAAGTCAAATAAACAGTTTTCTTACATCGTCCACTTGCTGCTCCAGCTTTGTCTTGGCCTTGGTCAGAGTGTTGACTTTGTCTTCCTCTGCCTGGAGGTCATCCAGTGTTTGCTGATGGGCCTCTTGGAGGGCTTTCTTCTCCTTGGTCAGCTTGGCAATGGCCTCATCCTGAGTAGCCATCTCTTCTGTCAGGTTTTTCACCTAAAGTTTGTGGAAATGTAGATTAACAGTTTTACATTGATATAATGCTATAAAATGCCACATTAGTTTTTCAATGGTGTTTAAATTTGTATAAGTGTCTCTTTGATATGAACCTTGTTTTCAGTGGCATGTTTCTCCTTCTCCACTTTAGCCAAGGTGAGTTCTAGGTCATCAATGTCCTTCTTCAGCTCAGAGCATTCATCCTCCAGCTTCCTCTTCTTTGCAGTCAGCTCAGCATTGATTTCCTCTTCATCCTCCAGTCTCTCAGTTGTCTCTTTGAGTTTGGCCTCAAGCTGGATCTTGCTCTTAATCAGCCCTTCACACCTTTCCTCAGCATCTGAGAGGCCTTCCATTTCCTTTAGTTGAATAAAAAACAATACATATTTTCTAATTTCTTTTTAATACTGATATACATACATAATTACATATTTGTTTTTTATGTACCGCAGCCACTTGCAGCTGCAAGTCATTCTTCTCCTGCAGCAGAGAGACCATCTTCTCTTCCAGTTCCTTCTTCTTGGCCAAAGCAGCAGCCAGGTCTGATTGCATCTTCTCATAGTTCTCCTTCATCTGCATCAACTCCTTCTCAGTCTCAGCGCTCTTCAGCAGAGGCTTGATCTTGAAGTACAGGTTCATCCATGGCCAGTTCTTCACATTCATGAATGATCGGATGTTGTACTGGATGGAGTAGATAGCCTCTCTGATAGGGATTGAAGCAAAAAGTTATCTTTACTAGGAACTGAGATTGTGTTAAAAAGGTAATGCAACGATGCAACTACATGAGAAACAGCTAAATATGAGATATATCTGCTGGTCTATTGTATTTAACAACAATCCCACCTCCTCTCCATCATCTTAACAAACTCCTTTCTCATGAGATATCCTCTGCAGAGAGCCTGAGTCATGGTAACCAGCTCAGCCAGTTTCTCATCTCTCATCTCCTCAAGAGTACCCAGAAGGCCAGCTTTGAAGAACACCTGTTATCACATGAATAAATGTTTAGAACACATGGACTCTAAGGAATATAAACAGGACAATAAAAGGTAATATTGTCTTTATC